GATGGCAGTAGGCAGTGTCAGAGAGACTGAGTGATTGAAGAGTTTGAAGAAGGAGAGCATGATCAACGGTGTCAAAGGCAGCAGAGTGGTCAAAAAGTATTAGTATGGAGTAGCGGCCTTTGGATTTAGCTGCGATTAGGTCATTAGTAACTTTGATAAGAGCAGTATCACTAGAGTGGAGGGGGCGGAAGCCAGATTGAAGAGAGTCAAGGAGAGTTATTATGTTATTATTTATATAGCGCCAACAAATTCCACAGCGCTTTACAGTGGGTGGACAAAGAGACATGTAGTTGTAACCAGACAAGTTTGACACACAGGAACAGATGAGTTGAGGGCCCTGCTCACTGAGCTTACATGCTTGATGGAGTGGGGTAGACATGTGCAATTCATTTCGGGCCGAATATATGAATATGAATTCGGGCGAATTTCGGGAAATTCTGACATTCGGGTACTTCCGAATAGCCGAAGTGCCGAATTGCCGAATTTCCAAAGTGTCGAAGTGCCGAAGTTCCAAAGCACAGTATTGCCTAAGTACTAATATACTTACCCAATGGAAGAAGAAGAATGTTACACTGTATACAATTTTAAATAAAAAGTATACAAACGTAGCAAGGATTCAGCCGTAAGCATTTGCAACACTTACATCACTCAACACACATTCATATAAAATGTAAGTTACTTGGCCAGTCAATGTAATGAAAGGAATGAATTCCCACAGTATTAGGGAGCTATCTACTAAAAGGATGAAAGACCTAAATTGGTCTTTCAGCCAAATTTACTAATACTAAGTAAAGATTACATAGTATTAGTAAATTATGCCCCAACTCGCTATACCGTGAGTAGGGGCATGTCTATTAAACAGTGAGCAGCCTGTGGCTGCTCACTGTAAAAAAATAAAAATAAAAATAAAACCACGCCCCTCCTCCCCCTCCAAGCCTGAAGGGGGACTTATCCCCCCCCAGCCCCCACCCCTGAACAACGGGTGGGGGCCCTAAAGTAAAATAACCTATTGTCCTCCCCCCGGCCCGATACCCCTGAGTGGCAGGTGGGGGCCCTAAAACAGAATAAGGGGGGACCTAATGTCCTCCCCCCTGTCCCCCACCCCTGAGCGGTGGGTGGGGGCCCTAAATACTAAATTAATTTTGTTCTAACTGTATTGTGATATTAATATATATATATATTTATATCAAAATACACGTAGAACGAAATAATATATATATCTATATTGTTGTGGATCAGAAATGTTGATCTTTGTTATATTTAGAGGAAGCCCAAATTGTTGTTACAAGTGCACTTGGAGAAGCAAGAATTAGACACCAGACACCTGTTGGTATTCAAAATAAGCCTCTGACGTTTTATTCATCAGCTGGGTTTTATACATTAAAAAGTAAGTGATTACGTGCAAATACTCTTAAAACAGTTATAGGAAGTGTGACAGACCCATCCGTATGAACTAGAATTGCTGTGTTCATCTGTTTTGCCGTTTGTATGAATTTACCTATTCGTATGCTTTGTTTAAGGGAATGTACTTTTCTGTCGAACGGAACTACCGAACGGACGGCCACCCAGAAGAGAAGTGTGCTGCTGGTTAACCTATTGATCCCAATTAGAACGTTGCGGTTAACCACAGACACTTCTCAATTAAAACCGAATACAGGGTGGTCGTCATTCGTATGTCGACCACGAGTCGGCGGCCATTTTAACCATGCGAAAGACCAGCGGTGTTCGACGGTTATTTCATGGAACTGAAAACTGACACTTTTTCAACCGAACACAGCTGAAGACGTCGACCTCCCTTCTCAATCAACAGAAGTATGCGAACACCGGCCGTTTGACAGGTTTAAAGGCACGAATGGACTTACCCCAGATAGCCTTCCCATGGAGTCAATCGCATACTGAAGAACTGTAATAGACTTTGACTCCATGGCGATTGAACTGTGCGTATGGGATCTGAGAGCTATTCGTAAATAATATGCACTCAGATCCAGGCTATCTGGGGATGTGTTACACGAATGCAATACGTTCGGCAGTTATAAAGTTATGTATTTTAATGTGTTTTGTGACTTGTATTTAAAATGGCGATTTGCCTCTGCTCTGGGAGATAATTGAATTACTTCTCAATTATCTCCCGAGCAGAGGGGAGGAAACTGTGATGCATGCTGGGAATATTGTGGGATTGTATGTCTGAAATGTCCTCATGTCCTTCTGTAATTCCAGTCTCCCATTTGGTCCCCTAGGGGAGTGTCCACCAAGTGGGAGACCTGCATAAATGCGGGCAGGTAGCCCACAGTAAACTCAGTTTGTGTATTACCCTCAAAGCGGAGCTTGGTCTCATTATTGGGGGATTTTATTACCGGCGACTAGAGACTGCTCATTGGAATTATTTGCAGCTTGGAAACTATTGGCGTTCGGCTGATATGGGCAGTTCGTGTATTTGGAGCTTGTGAAGGGAAGGAGCCATACAGGTACTGTTCAGGAGGTTAGAGTGTTCCCTGGCTGGCAGTTCGCATGGTTATACTGCATACGCTACCAGACCACATTATTGCGAACGGGGAGCATTCACTAAACGGCGGTTTGTACATTTATTACTGAAGGTATCGCAACAGGAAGAGAGTACAGATAAGACATAGGGATGAGCGTCATGTACACATAACAAATAAGTTTCAAGGTAAGAGAGAACAAAATGATTAGAGCAGAGACATCTTAGGTGGGGGCTCTCTGCTCCCGGAACTTAGACATATATGGTCTTAAGTCTTGTTCAAGCATCAAGCATTTCCTGAGTCCAAGTTAGCCAATTTTAATATAGGCTATCATTATATGACACCTAAAAGCTTGAGCCTTGGAATCAAGATAAATTCTATCACAATATACATAAATATATACGTATATATCACTATATATATAGCTATATATAAATAAAAATATTTTAAAAAATTCTATATATATATATACACATATATATTCACATACGTATATATATACATATATTAATTCTACATATATATTTATGTAATATTTTTACATAATTAAGTATTTTAATTAATTACAATTAGCGGGACCTGCCTGACAACCCATGCCAAAAGTAAAGGGAATTTAATTTGCTAGCACTATATTTAACCCTATAACTTTCCAAGACACCATAAAACCTGTACATGGGGGGTACTGTCCTACTCGGGAGACTTCGCAGAACACAAATATTAGTGTTTCAAAACAGTAAAATGTATTACAACGATGATATCGCCAGTAAAAGTGAAGTTTTTTGCATTTTTCACGCACAAATAGCACTTACACGGACGATATTATTGCTGCGATACTTTTTACTGTTTTGAAACACAAATATTTGTGTTCAGCGAAGTCTCCCGAGTACAACAGTACCCCTCATGTACAGGTTTTATGGTGTTTTCAAAAGTTACAGCATCAAATATAAGGCTTGTGTTTCATTTTTTTCACATTAAAATTTGCCAGATTGGTTACGTTGCCTTTGAGACCCTATGGTAGCCCAAGAATGAAAATTACCCCTATGATGGCATACCATTTGCAATAGTAGACAACCCAAGGTATTGCAAACGGGGTATGTCCAGTCTTTTTTAGTAGCCACTTAGTCACAAACACTGGCCAAAATTGGCGTTTTTTGCATTTTTCACACAAACAAATACTAACGCTAACTTTGGCCAGTGTTTGTGAACAAATGGCTGCTAAAAATGATCTGACATACCCCATTTGCAATACCTTGGGTTGTCTACTATTGCAAATGATATGCCATTATGGGTGTAAATTTCATTCCTGGGCTACTATACAGTCTCAAAGGTAACATAACCAATCTGACGAATTTCAATTTCAAATGTAACGTGCTATATTTGACCCTGTAACTTCCCAAAACGCCATAAAACCTGTACATAGGGGGTACTGTTTTACACGTGAGACTTTGCTGAATACAAATATGTGTATTTTATTGCAGTAAAAGCAAACCGTATTATGACATTGACAGTTAAAATGTCATGTAGAACTAAAAAAAATCAAAACAAATCTTATTTTCTCCCATTTTTTTTCATATTAAATTATGTTTCATAGCTAAATATTTGATATTAAATGAAAGCCCTGTTTCCCCTGAATAAAATGATATATAATAAGGGTGGGTGCATTTACTATGATAGAGGTGAATTACGGTTGGACAGACATGTAGCGCAAATGCCAGGTTTTGTTCACAACGTGTACATTTGGCTCCGTCCTTAATGGGTTAAACACCTAATGTAGGCAAAAATAATGGGGTTTAGTTACATTATATGATCATACATTGTATTAGTCTGCCACAGGCAGGCTTCTGCAATGAAAAAAAATCTTTCAACATAAACTGACAGGCAGTCCTCGTGCTGGTGAAAAAGTAAAAAAAACAAAACCTTTATATATTAAAAATAAAAAATAAATCTTGAATTTGCTGTTTAGTGGATAGGTGAGTGTGCTGGATCTTGTGTATTAGATATATATATTATTAAAAAAAATTATATTTAAAAATAAATAAATAACTAATTTTTTTTGTAAAATTATATATATATATATTTAATTTTATTATAACTGTATTTTGATATTAATATATTTATATCAAAATACAGTTAGAATTAAATGACATGTATATATCTATCTATGTATATCCCCTCTACGCCCATGGACGTACTAGGTATGTCCAACAAAAATCGGTCAATAAGGACCGCAGACTTACCTAGTACGTCCGCGGCAAATAGGAGCCCTGGACAAGAGCAGTGGGAGTTTGAGTAGTTCGAACAGCTCTAATTTTGCGGTCTGTTCTACAGTGTTAGTCTAATGTATTGCTGTTGCAATAGTTGACTTCCTGTTTTATTCAACTTTCCTGTTCATTTGCCAAGTCTTGCGATCTATCTTCAATGCAGGTTGTCTCCCGTAGTAGTCAAACAGTTTGCAGAAATTTTCATTCATTCCTTTTTTTTTTTTTTTTTTTTAATTCTTTATTTTTGTGCAGTGGTAATAACACAGGTATGCATTGACATATCGTATATCCATGAACAGTAGGGAGACAAAAGTAGTTTGCATGTCAAGACAATCTGCACAATTTTTTGTAAGAGTGGAAGGAAAAATAAACATTGTAAGAAATCCCAATAATGCATCAGGAAGCACAGGTGTAGGTTGGATATACATGAGTAGTCATCTGATGATTAACGAGATATAGCGTGCCTAGATGTATTAGAAAGTTTAAACACGACAGACCAGTTATGCATAGGACATGAGGAGTCACCACTATAACATTTGATAACAAGAAAACACCCTTAGCTAAGATGATTAAGTATGATAAAAATAATGCATATAGGTAGACAGTAATCTGCCCACAAGATTGATAAAACACGTTGCCTAATGAGACGTATATTCCAGCGTTTTGCGTTATATGGCGATCTTAATGGTTCTGCACTATTTAACTATGGACATTCGACTCAAGCTAGGCATACTGTCTGCACTAAGTAAGTTAAGGGTGTATAAAAGGTGAGATGTCCTAGTAATAGGGTGAAAGTCTGCGAGATACATATTAAAAGGTTTATAGAAATGTTAAGTGCTCGCTGGTTAATAAGTTAATTAACTGCTGGGATACAGGCTAACTAAGACGGTATGGTATCGCATTATGTCCATCAATAGTATAGGGGACTCAGAGATTAGTTGCTTAGTCCTCTGTCCTCAGGGAGTCTCCGGCTCAGCCAATCCCTAGTTTCAGGGAAGCTCCCAGGGCACACTGTGGTACCTCTGAGTTCCCCCCTGGGGGGTTTCGATGCTGGATGAGTGTCCCGTTTGGTGGCACGGCTGTTCGGGTCACTCCGCTTGGTCTTTGCTTTTTCTGGAGGCCAGAGGTAGGTCGATAGTAAGAGCTCTTGTACTGGTGGCGTCTGACCGCCCTCCGCCGCTTCTCCGTTTTCCTCTGCTTTGTGGTACGTCGCTTGGTGGGTGATAATGTGGCAGTGCCTCGCCCAGCGTGTGCTTGGGTTTTGGGGCTCTGTACATTGCGGGGTGCCCTCCGGATGGTTGGGCGGTGTGGCGGGTGTACCTCCCCATGGATCCCGTGCCCGGAGTGAGTCTGGCAGGCAGCCTCTGGTGCATGCTCTTACATAGAAACATAGAAACATAGAATGTGACGGCAGATAAGAACCATTCGGCCCATCTAGTCTGCCCAATTTTCTAAAAACTTTCATTAGTCCCTAGCCTTATCTTATGGTTAGGATAGCCTTATGCCTATCCCATGCATGCTTAAACTCCTTTACTGTGTTAACCTCTACCACTTCAGCTGGCAGGCTATTCCATGCATCCACTACCCTCTCAGTAAAGTAATACTTCCTGATATTATTTTTAAACCTTTTGTCCCTCTAATTTAAGACTATGTCCTCTTGTTGTGGTAGTTTTTCTTCTTTTAAATATAGTCTCCTCCTTTGCTGTGTTGATTCCCTTTATATATTTAAATGTTTCTATCATATCCCCCCTGTCTCGTCTTTCCTCCAAACTATACATGTTAAGATCCTTTAACCTTTCCTGGTAAATTTTATCCCGCAATCCATGAACCAGTTTAGTAGCCCTTCTCTGAACCCTCTCTAAGGTATCAATATCCTTCTGAAGATACGGTCTCCAATACTGTGTACAATACTCCAAGTGAGGTCTCACCAGTGTTCTGTATAATGGCATGAGCACTTCCATCTTTCTACTGCTAATACCTCTCCCTATACAACCAAGCATTCTGCTAGCATTTCCTGCTGCTCTATTACACTGTCTGCCTACCTTTAAGTCATCAGAAATAATCACCCTAAATCCCTTTCCTCATATGTTGAGGTTAGGACTCTATCAAATATTCTGTACTCTGCCCTTAGGTTTTCACGTCCAAGATGCATTATCTTGCACTTATCCACATTAAATGTCAGTTGCCTCAACTCTGACCATTTTTCTAGTTTACCTAAATCATTTGCCATTTGGCTTATCCCTCCTGGAACATCAACCCTGTTACATATCTTAGTATCATCAGCAAAAAGACATACCTTACCATCAAGGCCTTCTGCAATATCACTAATAAAAATATTAAAGAGAATGGGTCCAAGTACAGATCCCTGAGGTACCCCACTGGTGACAAGTCCAAGCTTTGAATATATTCCATTAACTACAACCCTCTGTTGCCTGTCACTCAGCCACTGCCTTGCCCATTCAACAATATTGGAATCCAAACTTAAAGATTGCAGTTTATTGATAAGCCTTCTATATGCAACAGTGTCAAAAGCCTTACTGAAATCTAGGTAAGCAATGTCTACTGCACCACCCTGATCTATAATTTTAGTTACCCAATCAAAAAAATCAATAAGATTAGTTTGGCATGATCTCCTTGAAGTAAACCCATGTTGTCTCTGATCTTGAAATCCATGTGTTTTTAGATGCTCATCAATCCTATCCTTTAACATGGTTTCCATCACTTTCCCCACTACTGAAGTAAGGCTTACTGGCCTATAGTTGCCCGACTCCTCCCTATTACCTTTCTTGTAAATGGGCACAGCATTCGCTAACTTCCAATCTTCTGGGACTACACCTGTTAACAATGATTGGTTAAATAAATCTGTTAATGGTTTTGCTAGTACACCACTAAGCTCTTTTAATAGCTTTGGGTGTATTCCATCAGGTCCCATTGACTTATTTGTCTTTTACTTTTGACAGTTGAAATAGAACCTCTTCCTCTGTAAACTCACGTGTAATAAATGACTCATTTATCCTTTTCTCAACTGAGGTCCCTTTCCTTCATTTTCATCTGTAAATACAGAACAAAAATTTTCATTGAGGCAGTCAGCTAGACCTTTATCCTCTTCTACATACCTTCCTTCTTTTGTTTTTAATCTAACTAATCCTTGTTTTACTTTCCTTTTCTCATTTATGTATCTAAAAATGTTTTGTCCCCTTTTTTTACTGACTGTGCTATTTTCTCTTCTGTGTGTGATTTGGAAGCTCTTATAACTTGCTTAGCCTCTTTCTGCCTAATCTTATAGATCATTTTGTCTCCCTCACTCTGGGTTTTTTTATAATTCCTAAATGCTAACTTTTTTGTTTTTAACTATTTTGGCCACATCTGCGGAGTACCACAGTGGTTTCTTGAATTTTGCTTTTACTGACAAGCCTAATGCAATTTTCTGTTGCCTTCAATAGTGCAACTTTTAAATAATCCCATTTTTCTTGGACTCCATTTAAATTGCTCCAGTCTGATAATGACTCCTCTACCCATATTCTAATTTTAGAAAAGTCTGTTTTCTAAAGTCTAAAACTTTTGTTTTTGTGTGGTGTCACTCAGTCACTGTTCTTATATTAAACCACACTGACTGATGATCACTGGATCCTAAACTTTCACCTACAGTAACATCTGATACCAAATCTCCATTTGTTAACACTAAATCTAGTATGGCCTCTTTGCGAGTTGGCTCCTCAACAACTTGTTTTAGAGACAATCCCAGTAGGGAGTTTAGAATATGTGTGCTCCTGGCACAAGTAGCTAATTTTGTTTTTCAATTTACATCAGGAAGATTAAAGTCACCCACGATAACTTCCCCCTTCATTGTCATTTTAGCTATTTCATCAACTAGTAGATTATCTAACTCTTCAATTTGTCCTGGGGGCCTATAAATCACACCTACACGAGTTACTGTGTGATTACCAAATTCTAACGTAACCCAAACGGACTCTGTGTTTGCCTCACTAACTTTTATTAGGCTAGATTTTATGCTATCCTTCACATACAAGGCCACCCCTCCCCTTTCTTGCCTTCCCTATCTTTCCTATATAAAGAGTACCCTGGTATTGCTATGTCCCAGTCATTTTTCTCATTGCACCATGTCTCAGTAACAGCGACTAAATCTACACTATCAGTTGCCATTATTGCCACAAGTTCATGGATCTTATTTCCTAAACTGCGAGCATTTGTAGACATGACTCTAAGCTTATCATTTTTTAACACACTTGCTACAGGCACCTTCTGTCCTTGTTTTGGGGACAATTGGATTGATGTTTTATCACCCTTTTGCCCCCCCCTCCTAGTTTTAATACATCCTAGCAAAACCTCTGAACTGCTCACTGAGAACATTTGTTCCCTTTTGAGAAAGATGCAAACCATCTTTTTTGTACAGCTTATCTCCATTCCAAACAGAGCTACCATGAGAAATAAAGCCAAATCCTTGCTCCCGACACCATTCACCAAGCCACAAATTAAAGTCCCTAATACGCATCCGCCTGTCGTTCTGAGTGTTATGCACAGGCAGAACTTCAGAGAATGACAGTGTGGAAGCAACCTGCCGTATATCATTGGCAAAAACACTAAACACTCTTGCTTTTCATGTGGGGTTTGGGATGAAGATTTGCGCTGTAGTCGCCTCCAGAAGGCCCTGCAGATTTGATCGAACCGGGCTTCAAAACGCTGTCTCCATTGTTGAAGCACCGGGTCCTCTGTAGTGTGTTCAGGATATAGTGTGGCGGCCATCTTAGGTGCCTTGTGCAGCTTGCCGTCGGACTGTAGTGTGCGTCTCCAGCGGGGACCGGGATATCCCCCACCAGTCCATAGGGGGGGTAGCAGGGGAACAGCAGAGCTGTAATGCGTTGCTGACCCTCCGTCGGGAGATCGGCTGCCTCTCCCGGCACTCAGGTTGCTGACCCTGTTAGACCTCAAATGCAGATCCCGGTAAGCCGGTGTAAATTGCTTCGTGTGTGGTATCAAACTGTTCAGGTTAGCTTCATTTACCCGCCGGTAGCTCATTTTATCGCCTTTTTGGGCTAAGTTGTGCCTTTTAGTCGAGTGAAAGGTTGTGCAGAGCAGGAGCTGTGCTTGCATGCGTCTGCTCAGCTCTGCGGTCAGGCCGCGCCTCCCTTTTCATTACTTTTTTAACCCCTTCAGGACGGAGTCAATAGTACACGTTCTGATCAAAACAAAACGTAAACAAAAACTGGAATTTGCGCTATATGTCTGTTCAACCGTAATTCACCGCTGTCACATTAAGTGCACCCACACTTATTATATATCATTTTATTCAGGAGAAACAGGGCTTTCATTTATCATTAACTATTCATTTATGGAACATAATTTATTATGAATAAAATTTAAGAAAATGTGAGAAAATAAGATTTTTTTTTAAAATTTGTATTTCCATCTGACATTTTCGCTGTGAATGTCATAATACTGTTAGGTTTTACTGCAAACAAATGCACATATTTGTAATCAGCGATGTCTCACGAGTACAACAGTACCCCCCATTAACAGGTTTTATGGTGTTTTGGAAAGTTACAGAGCCAAATATAGAACGTTCCTTTTTTAAATTGAAATTTGCCAGATTAGTAATGTTACCTTTGAGACATTGTGGTAGCCCAGGAATGAGAATTACCCCCATTATGGCATACCATTTGAAAAAGTAGACAACCCAAGGTATTGAAAGTGGGGTATGTTTAGTATTTTTTTTTATTAGCCACTTAGTCACAAACACTGGCCAAAGTTAGCGTTCATATTTGTTTTTGTGTGAAAAAGCAAAAAACTAATATTTGGCCAGTATTTGTGACTAAGTGGCTACTCAGAAAGACTGGACATACCCCACTTGCAATACCTTGGGTCGTCTACTTTTGCAAATGGTATGCAATCATGGGGGTAATTCTCATTCCTGGGCTACCATACGCTCTCAAAGGCAACATAACCAACCTGGCAAATTTCACTGTCAAAAAACTGATATGTGATTCTCTAACTTTCCAAAACACCATAAAACCTGTACGTGGGGGGTACTGTTATTCTCGGGAGACTTCATTAAACACAAATATTAGTGTTTTAAAACAGTAAAACATATTACAACAATAATATAGTCCATAAAAGTGCAGTTCGTTTGTAGAAAATGCAAAAAAAAGTCACTTTTACTTAAAATATCATCGTTGTAATACAATTTACCAGTTTGAAACACTAATATTTGAGTTCAGCGAAGTCTCCCGAGTAAAACAGTACCCCCTATGTACAGGTTTTATTGTGTCTTGGAGAGTTACAGGGTCAAATATAGTGCTTGCGAATAAAATTCTCTGCACTTTCTCCCTGTGTTGTCAGGCATGTCAATCAAATTTTAATTAATCAAATCACATAATTATGTTAAAAGATTACTTAAATATAGACGTAGAATTGTAATATATATGCATTTATAGGTATTTAAATTCTACTGTAATCTTTTATGTAATTATATATATATATATATATATATATATGCGGTTATTTGTATTTTATATATAGATAGATAGATATATATAGAATGTCATTCTAAGTGTATTTTGTTACCAATATATATATATTAATAACAAAATACAGTTGGAATGAAATAACATATGAATATGTAATTTATATTAAATTTTGTTTCAATATTTTATTTATTTATTTTGTTATTTTATTTATTTATTATTGTAATTATACGTATATACAGGGCTGGTGCAAGGATTTTTGCCGCCCTAGGCAAAAGAAAGATTTGCCCTCCTGGGACATCGCAATGCCCCACCCATATGATCGGGCATATGAACTAACGCCAGTGCTGCACACAGTGTGTGTTTACATTAAAAGGCCTGCAGGGACCGGCTATAGACACCAGAACCACTACATTAAGCTGCAGTGGTTCTGGGGACTATAGTGTCCCTTTAATGTGAGGTAAATTGAAGATTATACTAGCTTTAGTGTACTAATAATCTTAATTTTAGTAATGACAGGAGGCGAATATTTGCATATCTTTCTTTACTGAAAACTCCAGCAGCATAGAAACATAACAACCAATCAGAAAAAAGTTATGGTGCCCATATAAGGCCCTGTCTATGACATCACTTCCTCTTTCTTTGAAGCAAAACAATAAATAACAACAATAAACACAATCATATTACGTCAACATTTCAACAACCTATTGGGATAAACAAACTCCAGTAGTTCCATGATGCAGCGGTATGAAAGGTGAGCTTTTGTCCTGATGAGAAGACGTTCACGCTGCAAGAAAAAGGAAACAGGTGAAAGGACTCTGGCGTGATAACTTGTCCGCATACAATAAACATAAAAAATCTGACATATCAATGGATACTAGAATGAGTAACATATTAATATATATAATTCGGAAGTAATGACATTTAAGAATCTATAAGCACAACATAACTCAAGGTACCAGACAAATGAATCAACCTATACAAGTCTCTCAAGATACATGATCGAGTAGCAAACATGCAACCAAAACATACCTGACTTCCTGAACATAAAGGACGTATTCTGTTCAACACGAGAAACATGGGAGGGATCCTATAGGGTGGGAAATATTCGCCTCCTGTCATTACTAAAATTAAGATTATTAGTACACTAAAGCTAGTATAATCTTCAATTTTACCACATGACAGGAGGCTTCATATTTGCATTTTTAAAGCTTAGAATTGACCAATGTGAAGGAAGTATGAGATGTTTGCTGAAATAGAGCGTTCTAAACGTACCCTCTCGCGCTCAAACCGCGCATCGTATAATGTCGGTTAGGGAAGCGTTGGCCGAAAATGACTTGTGAGGCCGCCGCTCCCTTGACCGAGTGGGCTCCGAAACAAGGTTAGACGCCCGCTAGATGCAATAGCCAGCGGGTCCATCTGGCGAATGTAGCGGTAGACACCTCTCCATGAGGTTCCACGTAAGAGGTCAGGAGTAGACCCGTCGCATGAGTACGTAGGGGTAATGATTCGGTATACCCCATTAGCGTTCCGACCACACATAGTTTGGTGTCTGACACAAAGTATGGGTATGACATCGAAGATCAATTGGACTTAGTTCATCTCGATATGGTAAAGGTAATCCCGTCTGGGGTGAGAGAGAAAACCATCCATATTGAAAGCCCTAACGTCCGTCACCCGTCTAAATAAGACGAGGCACAAAAAGAGGGCTAGTTTGGCTGAAAGTTGTTTCAGTGACAAACAAGGATTGTCCTGATATTCCCCAAGGAATCACAGCACCACATCCACCTGCCAGAGGTGTGAATACTTGGGTGCCGGGTCTCGATAATTCGGCACCCCGAAGTAGTCGACAAACCAGTGGATCTTGACCTACTGGTCCGCCGATATGGCGGATCCGATCACGTTGAGGGATCGATATGACCGCCCCAACAAGACCAAGTGTGACAGATAGTTAAGGATCAGTGGGGCAGATGCGGTAAAGGGATCGGAATCCCTTTCCACCCACCAAACACTCCAGGCCGGTCAGGCAGAAATATAGCATTTCCTGGTGCCGGGAGCCTATGAGTCCCATCAGAGGTCTTAGTTGATGCAATAGGTCGTGGACATTTCAGGAGGCCCTGAAATCATCCAGGCCACTAGTGCCAGTCGTCCTTCCACGACAAAGGAGGGGCTTCCCCTCGAGGTCCCGTCAAAAGTAGAGGGAAGGTAGGGAGTGGGAGATGGTCTTCGCGAGACGTCCCCAGGCGATCCGGGAACCACGGTTGGCATTGTCCGAGGGGTGTCATGAGCAGGAGCGATATCTTGTGTGTGCGTGTGTATCGAAGCACCCTTGCCATTGTGGAGAGCGGTTGGGTCCGTTTGTATGGGTTCATCCAACGCTACGCATCCGGGGAAAGAGTCAAATATCGATTTGCCGATCCAAGATTGCAAGTGAAGTAATCACCATCGAAATTCCGTCCTCACTTCTGCCGACAGTGGGATCCAATGGTCGTATGAGTGACCGGCATGTACGTATCTAGTCAGCAGTCGTTGCATGGCCCCGTAGTGTAGTGGGCAAGGAAGTATCGATTGTATGGAGGAGGAGAGGAGTCCCACAATCCGGTGAGTATTCTGAGAGGAATCGTATCCAACCTTAGAGTGTGTCCGACATCCATCCGTATAGGGGCGATCTCTCCAAGCCGATGTCGAAACCGAGGAACTGACCCGACACAGATGGGGGAGCGATTTGTCTGCATACTACCAAACAAAACCAATGGAGTCCAGAACGTGAACGTCAAATTTGACTGCAAACGTAGCCTGGATTCGCAAAGGGTCAGCAAGTCTTCCAGGTACACGAGACATTGCACGTCCAAATTCGCGGACGTGAGCCCTAACCGGCTTCAGTAGCTCCGTGGGCACCATAGAGTCGTAAACTGCTGTTAGTCCTCATCCCTGGGATCGGAGGAAAACTAGGTAGTTTAGGGTAACGGATCTCGACAAGTATGTGTCCTCGGGGTCCAGATGTGTAAACCAGTCATTCTCGTTCAGGAGGTCTAGTAGACGGTTGATTTTCTCTATCCTGAAGCGTTTGTATACCACGTAGGAGTTCCCTTGATGATAGGTTGACTCACTAGTAGATGAAGCGTTTGGTGGTTCGGTTCCGCTACCGACCAGTCCTCCCAAAACACCTTTCCCCGAAGGGGTGTGGAGGATTTGTTTCAGCGAGGTCTGGGCTAAAGTTAGTGTGGTGGATAAGTTCCCGCCGTCAAATAGTAGGTCTTGTGCTTCTGGGCCGAATACTAGTCGTTCTTAGGTCTAATAGTGTGTTGTCGATGCGGACCAGTACAGGTTTGCGCCCGCCGGCGCATAGTGCGTCCTTTGCTCTGCCCTGGGGTTTCAAGCATTGAGTCCATCCTCCGGAGGTGGTAGGGTTGAGTTGTGTACCCTGGTTGAGTGCCAAATCCGCAAAATAGAACATCTCGTAATCAGGTCTGGTAGACCGAGTACTGTATCGTGTGTTGTTGAGTTCGGGTGTGACTGCCACTTTGTCTGGCAGCAGTGGTCTGGGGTATCTGGTCTTGAGGTGTGCGCATACATCCATCCCCAGAGGATTGCGCAGCAACAAATGTCCTCCATCGCTATCTCCGTCTCAGTCGCCGACACAGAGTAGGGT